ACGTACACTCCCCTCTCCTTCTTGTACAACGGACATTCCGCTACTACATGAACGCGATCTTCGCATTCGAAGCCGCAATCACATTTGAACTCGTTGTCTTCGTCGTCTACCGCCCTATGTCTTCGTCGACGTTCTCGAAGGCCTATGTCCCCGGTCCTGAATTTGACCTTAAGCTTTGTTCCTGCATCCATTGGTCCATGTAGGTAGTCCTTGAACCCTATTCCTTCCTCCAACATTCCGTACACTTCTAGACCCTCCTTATCCTTGGATTATTTCCTGAGATTCANCAATTCTCGGCAACCTCTCCTCTCCCATCCCGCACATGCGATACTGCCATGTCAGCTTCCTCGCGTCTCTTCCCGACCGTAGGGATTGGATCCCCAATTCTGCCCTGACGGCTGCATTGCTTGTGCGCTTGGAGCATCCTAGGATGATCTTCGCTGCTTTCATCTGCGCCGCCTCGAGTTCTTTCATTACCTTCTTATTTCCTTCCCATACTTCTCCGGCGTACTCTAGCGGCGGTACGATTACTTGTCCAAATGGGGAGCATTCTTCGACCTCAACAGTCATTGTGTCTGTCGGATGCAACGGGGTTGGGTGTAATGTAAGCGTTAGACTCGATGTATGTGTAAGGATTGACTTGAGGTGTCTTATGCTGCGTAGACGCCGACGATATTTCCATTCGAGTAGTACCGTAGTCTGTAGGGTCGTCGGGCATGTACTGTATAACATGACTGCTTTTCCAGAGTTGATCGCACAACACAGCTCTTGAAAAAGTATGCCCCGCTTTCGGACGTGGTCACTTCGCAAAGCATTGCCGTTTTCAACCAAACTGCGGGCTTGGAATTATTGACGGTTCTAGGTGGGTGAAGGAAAAATAGATATAGAATCATTGTGCAGGTTGGTGGATCCTTGTCGTCTTTCGATGTTCTTGTAGATGGGGAAACTGTCGAGAACCCAATGAACGCCTCGAGACAGATATGTTTGTGTGTCGTATCGACGATTTGGCATTTGAGTAAAGGAGAATCTCGTCTGGATGACCTTGCCGTATCCTAACAGGTCCGAGGTTGCAGCTACATGTTCGGGTACCACGCTGTTCAGCGTTTCCTTCGAGAGAACCGGCTCATGTACATGGTGCGGGCACACGAGGTGCAGGAGGAAGGCTTCCGCTCACACTTCCCTAGGTATGGTGTGCTCGGATTGTGGTGTTAAGCTGCTGCTCAGCTAACGGCATTGCTGTTGCTACTGTTGCAAGGGATTTTTGGCCGGCAATTCCCGCTGTCCAGAGGGGAAGCCCCTCGTACTTCTCCGTCTGCAGTACAGTACGTGGATCTATTTTTTTTTGAGTGTTGATCCTCACAATCGAGGGATACACGCAACCCGGCATCCGTTTTGGGCGTTGGCAACCACTGCATGCTGTGGCATGTTCGCATGGGCATGGCCTGCAAGACACATCGCACGCACGCATCCACTCTCCCCCCCTATGTGATGCGTCTTCTACGACACATTTTGTGGTGTTTTTGGTTGTTTTTGCTATACACCTGACAACAACAACGGCGACCTCCAACACCAACAACAGTCCGGTGTGGGGCTTGGCTGCCGCTGCCGCTGCTGCGGAGGAGGGAGACTTCAGCGATGAAGATTCGGAGCTGGGGTCGGAGGAGGAGGAAGAGGCTAACTCGTACGACCAGGTCAGAGAGCACGAAAAATAGACTGCAAATGTGTGTAGCCTCACCAAGAAGGACGTGTTTGAGTATCTATGACGATGAAGGGAGCCATAACTACCATGGCTAGCTAAGTCTAACGAATAGCAATACAATAGCACCACCCTGGGGCACTCCTCATGCACCAACGCCCGCATTCCGCGTCCCTCCCTGTTTTTGTACAATTCGTTCCTCATGGTGATGGTGATTCATCCCCACGTGTGGTATCTCCTGTTTGTTACGTTATCGCGCTACTGCTGTCTGTTGGGTTGGTTCAACTTGGAGCAGGTGTTGGCGGACACGAGCCGGCACCTCAACCCCACCGTGCTCACGGTCTTCTCCGCCCCGAACTACTGCGACCGCTACCGAAACAAGGCCGCAGTGCTGCACATCGAGAGGCCAGGGTACTACACCGTCAACCTACTTGGTGAGTCGCTCACTCACGCTTGTTCTTCTGGTTGTATTGCAGCAGCTTGTGACAGGTAGATATCAACTTGAGCTCGAGGCTGCTCTGCACCGCATCATCATGCCATATGCGGAGGCCAAGCCAATCAAGTCCATGGCCCCATCCTCTCTTCAGAATCGCATAACTCGTATGTTTGTGCTTGCTGTTGCCCCGACCTCTTGCCTGTAACAACACCTGTCATTTGTGTTGGCCCCACATTCGATCAACCCGCCCCGCATCCGGAACAGAGGCGGAGCCCCACCCAGCCCCGGTGAAAGAGAGCGACGTGAACGTCATGCAAGTCCTGGCCATGGGGAACACGTGCCCCTACATGCCCACGACGTTCCGGGATTTCCTCAAGGTGGCCGTTGAGCTTGGCCGGGCCGTCAAGCCGACGAGTACCAATACCTCGACGGTGACCGAGGACCTGGCTGCAGCCGCCGCCGCTGCCGAGAACTTGATGTCCTTGTCCAGCGAAAGCGGCAAGAGCAGCACTGCTGAGAACCGCGATGGTGGCGCTGGCGGCGACGGCGGGGGTGCGCCCTTTGCTCCCGCGCTTGCGCGAAGGTCTTCGGCGCCAGCAGAGACTGCGTCTGCGGCTAGAGGCGGAGGCGGAGGGGGTGGGGTGATGGGAACCCCCCATCCACGAGGACTACCGCCTGCTGGCAAGGATCAGGAGGAAGAAGGCGACGATGTGGGTGCGGTTCTGCCTAGCTCAGCCCCGAAAGTAAGGAGGGGTCCGGCTAGGATAGTCTCCGCACCGGTCCTGGGTAGCGGCGGTGGCGGCGGTGGTAGCTCGGCGGGTGCAATGGGGGGTCGGCGAAGGAGAAGGAGCTCCGGGGGGTCGCCTGCGGGGGGTGGGGTTTCCGCTGGCTTCGTTACGGGCGGTGGAGGGAAGGGTGGCGACGAAGACAATGCACGAGAAGGGGAGGATTCCGACTCGTCGGAGGAGGAGGGCGAGGGGGAGGGGGAAGGGAAGGCGGACACCTCATTCTTTGGGGTGATGAGCTCGGTGAGAGGGAGATTTGGTAGGCGCGTTACGATTTGCGTCGTTCAGAAGCACGGCCGGCCAATAGAAGTGTTGCTCCGCACGTGCTGAGCGAGCTGTTGAAATGCGTGGTGTGGTTGGAGGTAGGCGTGCTCTACCGTCTACACGACCATCATCGTGGATGTGCCGTAGAGAGTGTGTGCGGGTGTGTGCTGATCTTTGCCAACGCACCCACTCTGTAGTATGTGGAGCTTCGTTCGAAGCGCTGTCCCCCCCGCGATGGATGCGCCGCAGGCACCATAACTCTACCAACTCGACCACAGAAGCTGGTCGAGTCAACAGTCTCTACTACAGGTCACGATATCTATCCGATCGACATTGATTGGTGGCAGCGATCGATCCATCCCACCGTCGTGCTTTTGCCCCTGATTCAGCTACAGTACTGGGCCCTCTATAGTGCAGGGGTGTGTCCAGAAATTTTACCTGCACTATAGCGGGCACCTGCACTATTCAGAATAGTGCGTCAATAGTGCAGGTTCGGCGCTATTGAGGAGATGCTTGATTTCATGGTGTAGCGCTCATGCGTCGCGGGGCTAACAGAGTACGAAATGGATCGAATTACAGTAGTGCTGGGCCCTGTTCTAGCGTGGGTGTGGGCAGGCTGTCCCGCGACCCGTGTGGTTCCCCCCTGTCGCACACACAGAGATGTAGAAAAATTACTTGCAAGTTGAATCGTCACTTTCTTCCTGTCTCAGCACTCGTTCTACTGCACACCGTGAACTGTCGCATGAACCAATCCTTCAACATTAATACTTCGTGGACGAAGCTATATCTCAGTCCTCGCCGCCCTCGTTCGATGTTGCAAGATAAAAAAAAACAAAACACGCAAGGAACCGCACTACAAGAAAACAATCACTACTGCTACAGCTGTAGACTATGTAACCCCGCCCTCACTACGTCGCGAAAAATTCTCTCATGTCTCCCTGGCGCATCCATCAACTTGAGAATCTCAAGCTTCGCGTTGTTGTCTGGCCGCGCACGAGAACCAGATCCCTTCTTACTCCCCGCCTTTGTTTTTTTCGGGCGGGCGTTTAGATGGATGGTCCCGCCCCAGCACCCTCAGCTGGTGTCGCTTTGCGCTTGCGAGCCTTGGCGACGCACTTGCTGCAGATGCGGTGCTTTTCGTCGTCCTCAAACATGCTGCCGCAATTGCCGTGGAGCCACCCGCCACACCCTCCCTTGCAGACGGGGCCATGAGGGGCTTGCGGCGTTCTGCTTGTTGATGGCGGCACAGTTCACCGTCCGCACAAGGCTTGTTGCGTCTGTCCGCTGTCTTATCCGAGTGTGTTTTTATTACTAGCATCGACCTCGCTGACCGGCTGACCAATGAAAAGACGTCAGTCAGTGCGATTGAAAAAATAAAACACTTCTAGACTAGTCTAAATGTCACCAACTGGGACGCCATGAAGGGGCGGCTTGGGGGAGGCTACGCTATTTCCCGATTAATGACAGAAACGTACGTGTCGATGAAGGCTGCTACCTTGCACTCTCGCTCGTTTTGGAGTGTCACCGCCATCCTCCTTCCTTCCAACTCCATCGTTCTCACTATCGTTCGTGTGTGTGTCCAACCTGCACTATGGCGGGGCACCGCGGGGCCCAACCTGCACTATTGAGGGCGCTGTGTGTGTCCAGAGATTTCACCTGCACTATACTGGGCACCTGCACCATTCAACCTGCACTATAGAGGGCCCAGTACTATAGTCGGCACAAATCGCCATACGCAGCTTTGGGGTTGAAAGTTGAAAACCTTGATCTTGTCTTGTCGCTGAATCAACGACCGTACCCTTGAACAACAGTTGTCACGACGGAGCATGCGAGGACTCGGACTGATGGACGTGCGATCTTCGAGCCCGGGACTGGGACTGCTGACGAGGCAAAATACTTGGAGCGTCGGTGCAACCAAGGCTCCTATCAGGTGTGTGGCAATGGCGCGGTTTTCTTACACCGTTCGACGCGGGCGGGGATGCTGTGGAGTTGTCCCCGCGGTGGCAACCCTAAAGGCGTTGGTTGCGGAACTGCACTTGTTTATCATGGAAAACGCCGATTTACGTTCGCTATCTCTCTCCAAAGCTCTTTTGCTACCATAGGTGACTTAGGATACCACAGTCCTCTGGGGTAGTTTTCAAAGCTCTTATTACTCGTGGCGGGAATGGTGGCGTTAGAACCGTCTTGTAGGAAGCTTTCCGGAAATCTATCGTTTGGTTTGATTTACACTTTAACACATCCTCTTCGTCGTGGAGACCTCGATCTTTGTGGGAATCGGTCCAGGGGGCGTGATATTTTACGTTGTCTCGCCTACGTTACACTGCTGAATTCGTAGCAGTTCAGTTTGTGTTTATGTTGATGTTGATGTTGTGCTGACACGTTTCGCTTCCGTACTCTTGCCGATGGCCAATCGCCGGTTGATTGCAGTGAATGCTGGCCTGCTGATGCCCTCGAACTGGAGTTAGTCCCATCCGCCCCGTGCATCCCCCCCCGGCTCAGTGTTGTGGGCATGAACGGTAACTTTTCCTGTCAAAGTATACGTGAAGTCCCTGGCCACTTTCGGGCCTCCTCGACATGGTTATCGGCATAACGGTCCTACTGCTGTGGGCTAGCGTGTCTTTCTCCTGTGTATGCCTGTTTTTCTGCGATCGCTGCATGCTTGTCTGCCAGCTGTAATGTAGTAGGACGGCCATCCTCCTATGCCTATGACCGACTAACCGGTGACGGCTAAGACAACAATCGTATACTACCAAGCCTTGGCTTGCTATCGGGACGCGAGGTGCCGCCAGTCATGTCCTTGTGATTTTTTTTTTTTGTGTTGACACATTGTCTTATGATATCATGATCGTCGCGTGGCATGGCGTGTGTAATGTCATGGCAGCGAGGTGTACCGAAAAGCGCAAGCCCGGGACGGTATCAACGAGATGCACCCGGAGGTTCTCAATAGACGCATCAGCAGCCAGGAGGCCGGGGAATTGGACCTCTCCAGGGTGAGAGAGAGAGAGGGAGAGGCAAGGAGTTGGAAGAGAGGGAGGAAGAGAAAGAGAGACAGAAAGACATACTGCGAGATATATATAGAGAGAGAGCGAGAGAGAGAGAGAGAGAGAGAGAGAGAGAGAGAGAGAGAGAGAGAGAGAGAGAGAGAGAGAGAGAG